GTTTCTTGAGTGTTTTAAGAAGAAGGTGTTGCATCAAGGAGTTGGAGAAGAAGATCAAGCTTGTAGCTTTGAAGTTGGTTTGTGCCCTAGAAGCTCCAGAAGGTAAAAAGCTTGGAACTTTATACTTGTATGAGATAGATCTAGTCATTTTAGCTTTATGGAAGCATTCTTGTCCCAAAATGGTGCATGTTATGATTTGGACGAAATGAGATGTCCTTTCAGACCTTAGAGGAGGTCCTAAGTGATAAAAAATGGTGTCCCAATAGCTAGATTTGTCTCATGCATGAAGTAGGAAGGTCTTAATGAATTAAGACCATGTGTTAAGAACTTTCTGGACGTCCAAAGTGATAAAGTTCGAGACTTTATACTCCTAAGGCACATTTGGTCGATGGATCTGGAGTTTGGGCTTAAGTGCTTAAGCCATTAAGCACTTATTAGGATTTTGGTGAAACCCAATGTACGCCCAGCGTACTAGGTCAACCACCCCGATGGTGGTCAACATCTGGACGAGTATGCCCCGTGTACCAGAGGAGTACGCCCCACGTACGTTGGGCTTTGGGTTTTGGGCTGTCTATGGACTAGTTGGATTTGGGTCATTGTTGGACTTTTGTGTTTTGGGCCAAGTTTTGATAATGGATCTTGGAGTGAGGCCCAATTAAGGAGTTGGGCCCAATTTGGTAAATTGGGCCAATAATGGGTGTTGCTTAAGGGCTTTCAAGGTTATGGAATTGGCATTCGGCCTTGTCCCAATAAAGAGAATGGACATGAAGGATTGTATGGACCCCTAGTCAAGATTGTTATGTTGTGTAATGACTTGGTATTATTATGTGATAGTTCAGGATTTCCGGTGAGATTGCGGTTCGGGAGTTCGGTTCTTCAGTTCAGATCGGCATTACGAGGTGAGTTATTCTCACTATATCAACTGGGTCTAAGGCACCAAGTCCGGCCCTTTATCGGATTTGTATCCGGGTATTTGCTTGATATGTTATTGATCTGCTAGATCTGCATCCTGGTCGTTAGGATGGTATTATGTTAGTGACCTGGTTTAGGTCGGTATCCTGGTATATAGGATGATGCTATGTTAGTGACCAGTTAGGTCGGTATCCTGGTTATAGGATGGTTGATGTGATAGTGATCTGTTAGACTGAAGGTGGGCCAGAAAGACTGAAGGTCCGGTGCGGGCGGTCCAGTCGTATTTTAGACTCAGAGAGTGGACCAGGAGAACTGAAGGCCTGGTGCGGGCGGACTAGTCATACTGTAGACTCGAGATGCATGGCTGTTCTGTGTTTTTTATATGATATGTTCATGGTTGTATGAGGTTGGTATTTTGGGGGTAACTCACTAAGCCTTCGAGCTTAAAGTTTTAGTTTATTGTTTCAGGTTCAGCGGATGGCCGCGAGAAGGCGAAGTCGTGACCGTACACTTCCTCGATTTATGATGATGATGTCTGGGAACTCTGATGTTTAAACTATTTTGAAAACAAATTGTAATAACTGAATGGTTTTATATGATTTAAAAAGTTTTAAATTGGTATGAATTTTATGGATGTTACAAGATCTAAGCATACATGAGGAAAGTTTATGGATTTATACCTCAAGGTGCTCTGAAATGGAACCAAAATCTCGGATCTAGAGCTTCTCCTCTGAACCACCACCTTGCTTTGCTCTTCACTTGCTTGGAAAATGGCTTCACAACATCAAGATGCTCTCTAATGGCCTCCAAAGCTCCAAGAACACTCAAGGGAGGGTTAGGGTTTCGTGGTGGCTGTCTAAGAATGAGATGTAGGCTGACCATTGAGGCACATTATTCCTTTTATAGTGGCATAGCCCTAAAATTAGGGTTTTAGAAACTCTGAGCATACTCTAGGCGTACGCCTCCAACACCCGCGTCCACTTTACATCCCTACGTTGGGCGAACTTCTGCGCCTACCACCTTGCATGCATGGTACCTTCTTTCCACTTTTCTCCATTAGGGACCAATATTGCCAATAACTTCAAAGTGCTATAACGTCTTCGTCCCAAGTCCGTTTCCGACGAACTTTATATCCATGAAAAGGTGGCGAGTAGCCCTACGCTCCTAGCTACACCCTCAAGCCTAAAAACCTTCCGAATAGAACCCGAGACCCATAAAAGACCGAATCATCATATTACGCTTATGTCCTTGTCCTCCGAAGCCACAACTGAATATTTTCAAAACCGGGTGTTACAACCATGACATGAGATTATCGCCAAGATAAACACAAAACCAAGACGTGGACCAACGAGTTTTGGGACAACCCGCCCAATCAGCATTAGAGTAGGATACCAAGCAATCAACAGAAGATGGCCGGAGAGAAAGGCCATATGAGAGAGTACCCTGAAGATAACGAAGAATACATTTGTGAGCAAGAAGATGAGGTTCACACGTATCATGCATAAATAAACAGACCTGCTGAACAACATAAGCAATATCTGGTCGAGTGAATGTTAGATATTATAGATCCCCGACAAGGCTCTAATAGAGGGTGGGATCAGAAACTAGAGAACCATCAGGTGAGAGCTTAGATTTAGTGTCGATGGAGTGTTTCATGGGTTGCAAGAGGACATGTTAGCACGAGAAATGATTTCCTTGGCAAAGGCCATTTGAGAAAGGAAGAGAACTTGGTAGGAACGAGAGGCATAAATTCCAAGAAAGAAGGAAAGAGGACCTAAATCCGACATAGGAAATTCCTTAGATAAGCGAGAAATGACGTGAGATATAAGAGAAGGAGGGGAAGCAGTGAGAATGATATCATCAACATATAGAAGAAGATATATATGATCATTGCCCAAGTGAAAAGTGAAGAGAGAATAATCTGAGCGACTACTTTTGAACCCGAAAGTGTACCAGGAACGAGGTGCCTGTTTGAGGCCATAAAGAGCCTTGCGAAGCGGAAAAACATGGTGAGGGAAGGTGGGATGGACATAGCCAGGAGGTTGTTGCATGTACACTTCCTCGGAAAGGTCACCATGCAAGAAGGAATTATTGACATCAAGTTGATTGATGGGCCAGTTTTTAGAGATAGCAATACTAAGAACTGTGTGAATCATTATAGGTTTGACAATCAGGCTGAAAGTGCCGTCAAAGTCAAGGCAAGGTTGTTGAGAGAAACCTCGAGCCCCAAGACGACCTTTATAGAGATCGAGTTTTCCATGACCATCAAACTTGTGACGATAAAGCCAATGAAAACCAACAATATTAACGTTGGGAGGTCTCGGAACAAGATCCCATGTATGATTATAATTGAGCGCAAACATTTCGCTATCCATGGCATCCTTCCAATGTGGATCACAAATAGCTTGATTCGTGGAACGATGGATAGGAGAGATATCAGAAGTAGTCGAAAGATTGCGGATATGTCGTGGTCTAAGAGACCCAGTGCGTGAGCGCGTGATCATTGAGTGAGTGTTGGGAGGGGGAGGGGGAGGGGGAGGGGTGGCGGTGAAGGTGTAGAGACAGAGTCACAACCTGGAAAATGAGTAAAGGAGGTAACTGGAGCGGAAGAGTTTCTTGTAGGGATTGGGGAAGGGCCACCATGAACAATGGGAGGAGGGAAAGAGTCATCAGAGAGAAAATGATCATAATCAGAGACAGGAGGGATGTCATGAAATTCGGGAAACAAAAAATGTTCTTCATCAAAGATGACATGTCGAGATGTGATTACAAGTTGTGTGACGAGATTGAGACAACGATGACCACGATGATCAAAGGAGGGGTCAAGGTAAACACAAGCATAGGAGCGGGGGATAACTTGTGTTGGGCAGTAGGTGAGAGGTTTGGGTAACAAAGGAAACCAAACACACAGAGATGGTCATAAGAAGGAAATAAACTGAACAAAAGTTCAAAAGGAGTTTTGAATGAGAGAGTGGTGGTAGGGAGAAGATTGAGAGTGTGCACCGCAGTTAACAAAGCCTCAACCTAAAATTTAGGAGAAAGAGAGGCTTGGAAAATGTAGGTACGGACAGTGTTGTTGATGGTGTGAATAGCTCATTCAGCCTTGCCATTTTGCTGAGAGGTGTAAGTACAAGAGAAACGAACTTTAATATCTTTAGAGGCAAAAAATTGAAGTAATTTTTGGTTGTTAAACTCACGACCTTGGTCACATTGAAAAAGTTGAATGTCGGCTTGAAATTGAGTTTTAAATAAGCATGAAAATTAGTAAATACATCAAATACATCGGATTTAATTCGAAGCGGAAACACCCACAAGAAATGAGAAAAATCATCCAGAAAGAGAATATAATATTTATAACCACTAATGCTAGTAATAGGTGATGTCCATAAATCACAATCAATCAATTCAAACATATAAGAAGTTTTAGTTTGCGAAGAAGAAAAAGGTAAACGACAATGCTTCCTAAGCTAACAAGCATTACGGTGGGAAGCTTATTTGATGAGCTAGTAATAAAATGACAAGTGTTTAAAAACTGAAGCACTGAAGAACCAGGATGTCCGAGATGGCGATGCCAGATGGGGAGAGAGACAACAACAAAAGCAGTAGCAGATAATGAGGAGACAGATGAAGGAAGAATAGGATAGAGATCGTCGTCATTGTCACATCTTTGAATAAAAGTACCTGTCTCTAAGTCCTTCACAGTGAAACCAAACATGTCAAATGTAACAGAAACAGAATTATCGACAGTGAATTGACGAACAAAAACAAAGTTGTTAACCATGTTGTTTGACATTAGAACATTATTTAAAGTTAAACGGTTGTGAGTGTGCGGAAAATGAGTATGTCCTATTGAGTTACCGGAAGTAAAGCACCATTACCAACCATATAGATTTAAAATTACATGGCGTTAGAGAGAGCATATTACCTGAGTTGAAGGACATGTGAGAGCTCGCCCCGAAATCCAAATAAGTGTTGTCGGGTGGTGGTTGAACTGACATTGCTTGAAATACGGAATCCAAATCAGTGAACTTGGGAGGCGCTGATTACACATGACCACCAAAAGAAGCACCCGTGCGCATCGTTTGCTACTAGAAAACAATGGGATGATGTGGTGAAGTGAAGTATGAAGCATTGGAATTAGCATGTTGAGGAGAATAGGAGGTTGTTGTCACATATGGACCAACAGGTGTGTAAGCAAGTTGTTGATTAGCGGTGGTCTGCTGGGTCGGGAGACTAAACGGAGCAGCAGCTGCTACTGTGTTGGGAACGAGACCTGACCAGAAGGCGGGTGCTGAGCAGCAGGATAGAGGCCGAAGTGAGCAGGTCGTGTTCCTAAGAGACCAGCAAAGCTTTGCTGATGTTGTTGTTGTTAAGAGATACCGCCAGAAGTGTTGTACTTTTGTTGATTTCTTTGATTGTTGTGATTTTTGACCACCTGTTTCGCGATTTACCCGTATTAATTGACAAGGAGAAAATAGTTGAAGTTTGGGTTGTTGTAGGATCTAGGATGGAATCATTGGAAGTATCAAGAAACTCATGTAATAATAGCATATTTTTTGCTTCAAGAAAGGATGGAAAAGGCTTGGTGTTGGTTATTACATCAACAATGCTATGGTAAGAGGGTGGAAGTTGTCTAAGAATCTACATAACCAACTCGATTTCAGTAATTTGAGAATCAATATCTTTTTAGTCATCAATAAGGTTCTTTAAAGTATGACAAAACTCAGTGATCGGGTTTGCCCCTTTCTATGTATTGCGAAACTGATCATGTAACTGTAACATCCTAGACATCTTGTTGTTTCTAAAAAATTCTTCCAGTTTATCCCAAAGATCTTTAGAGGTGCAATCATCACTCGAGATTATTTGAAGCAAGCCCAGATCACAAGTGTTATAAAACCAAGATTTGATACGTGCATCAATGGAATACCATTCCTCATCATCTTCACTCGAGGGTTTTGATTTTACAGAAATATGACCATAAAACATGGAACCTCTACACATATTAGAGAATATTTGTTTCCATAATTTATATCTAGACCCGTCAACATTAAACTTGAAGCCGAATTGATTGTAGACATCTGTAAGAGAACACACAAGACTTAGGGTAGAGGGTGTGGATGTCGATGATGATGCAGGAGTGGACATGATGAGATGAAGACAACGTTACCGTATGGAAAAAGGAGGCACAACGGAAGTAGCTTGGTGAAGAAAAAACAAACCATTATGATGAAGCAAGTAGTGTGCTGAACAGTTGAATAAAGGAGAAATGCAGGATCGGTAATAGAGAAGCGATCAGAGTGTACGACCAGGAGAAAAAAAATCGTTGTAAGGTTTCTTTTGCTGTAGTCGTACGTGGGTTAAAATCCTAGCTTTGATACCATGTTAATTGTGGAAAAGCCTCCTTGATTACGGGCGTTATACTGCAATGAATATATATATATATATATATATATATATATATATATATATATATATATATATATATATATATATATATATATATATATATATATATATATATATATATAATTTACATAGGGGTCCATATACTATACATAAACAGAGAAAATAACATATAACTTAACAACATGTTGCATCCTCTCTTCCGACACCATTTTGCAGAAGTGCACTCTATCTTATGCAATAACAACACCATGTGAAACTATTACCTTTTTATGTTTGCATAATTTAGATAAATTCTTTTACGCAGTGAAGATGACATGTAGCTTGTTTTTTTCGAACAACTGGATGATTTTATTGAGAAGTTAAAAATTACAAATGAATGGAGAGAATAGTCGATTAATCTATCAATCAACATATTCCTTCTACTATTATGCCCGTCAAAAAGAACATCATTCCAGAAATTCCACATAATGACAATTAAAGCTTCCAACACCTTTTGTTTGATAGGATAGAGTCAATCTAATTAACCACCTCTTAAACATTAGTGAAATCTGGAAAAAGGTAAATTGTACCATCTCCTAAAGAAACACCATAGAGTTGCTGCAACCTAACAACAGAAAAAAAAATGTGCTCTAAGTCTTCTATGTCAGAATCACATATACTACACACAACAGAAGGAATGTCCATGTCTTTAGCATCTAAGTTAACGCTAGTAGGAATTTGATTTAAACAAAGACGCCAATAAAAAATGTTAACTTTCCGCGGGATATAGTTAACGCTAGGAGAATAACTTTATCAATATGTCTTTTGACTTCAGCCATTGTAAAAGAATCTAAGCCCCCTAAATTCCAAATCCATCTATCACTGGAAGCCGAAAATTGAAAAGCAAGAAGTAAATCATGAAGTTGCTGTAAAAGCACAAAAACACCATATTCGATAGGTCGATTCCAAGACCAACTTCAACCATTCCCATTCCATCTATGTTTAACAAAAAATTATTTATCAGTTTCTAAAGTAAACAATCTAGGGAACAAGTCATTAGAGAATTATTACTAATCCAATAGTCCTTCCAAAATAAAGTAGAGTTTTCATCACCCACCAATCTTTGAACCCCATTACTAGGAATTATGTCGTTATCATAAAGTTGATTTATAGTACCTATAGCTTTAGCCCATACTCTACCCTTCAAAACCGAGCCTCCATCCGAGAAACCCACTCCAACGTTAGGGCCATGCATACATTTTAAGACCATGCACCATAAGTCGTGAGGATTATTTAAGAACCATCACTTCCATTTGAAAAGAAGAGCCTTATTAAACGAATCCATAGAACAAATTTCAAACCCGCCTTTTTATTTGCTAGCCAAGATGATATCCTATTTCACCCAATGAAGCTTTCGTTCACCATCTTATGCCCCCAAGAAAAAACTCGATCTCAGCTTCTCAAGAAATTTATTAACGGTTATTGGCATTCGGAAAAGCGACAAGAAATAAATCCTAATACCATTTTCAGAAGCATCGACCGGACACCAATCGACATAAGTTTAAGCTTCCAAACCGAGAGCTTCTTCTTGAACTTGTCAAGAATCGACTTCCAACCTGCATAACAAGACATAAAGGCTCCCATTGGTAAACCAAGATACTTGAAAGAATATTTAACCGCCTTACAACCTGTAAGAAGCAAATTGTTTTATCAGAGAAATCGAAACTCTCACACCAAATATATTAGACTTGTGCAAGTTCACCTTAAGACCAGAAGCCATGAAAAAACACTGCAAAATACCAATCAAATTGAGAATATTTTCGCGACTCCATTCTCCAAAAAAGATTGCATCATTCGCATAGAAGAAATGAGATAAACGGAAATCTTTGTCACCAATATTAATGCCATGTAACTCTTCCATTGCAACTATAAAAAGAAAATGAGAAAGAGGATTAAATTAACACAATCCCCATTTTATAGAAAATTCATGAGTGAAGCTCCCATTTATCAAAATTGAAGACCGGATATTAGTAAGATAACCCCGAATTAAATCATACCACTTCTCAGAAAAACCCATGCTTTCATAATTGAGAAAAAATAATCCCACGAAAGGAATCATAAGACTTCTCGAAATCATCTTTAAAAATCATATATTTTTTCTTCTTTCTCTTACACTAGTCCACCACCTCAGTAACAATCAACAGGTCATCTAAAATTTATCTATCTATGACAAAAGCAAACTCCTATAAACAACGACTTTAGCAAATAAATGTGTTGGACTAATGTTTCCGCCACCCCACTTTGAAAAGCAACTATGAACACGAATTAAGGTTATCACATTTAAATTAGCTTAATGCATATCACAAACTTTTTATATATTATCACAAATTAAGGTTATCACATCTAAATAAACCCATCAGATACGTGATCACCCCAAAACGTAGAAGAAAGATAATGAGATATATAGCTAAGGCTATGTTTGGTGTGCTGGTTGAAAAGCTAGCTGATAGCTGAGAAGCTAACTGTTAAATAAAAAGCTAGCTGAAAAGTTAGCTGTTAAATAAAAAGCTAGCTGCTAGCTGAAAAATATAAAATAACATAAAGGACATTTAAAAGAATGTGTTTCTATAATTAATTAAGGGGTATATTTGGAAAAAAAAATTTAAAAACTCCTAAAAAGTTAGTCTAAGTAGCTTTTTAAAAAAGGTAGCTTAAAAGTTACTTTTTGGCTTGCCAAACATGACAACTTAAAAAAGCTCAAAAAATAAGATAGCTTATCAGCTAGTTCTAGCGCGCCAAACACAACCTAAGGGTATTATGGTCAATATAAATTTCATTAATAATTAAAAAGATATTAAATAACAACAAATGATTAAAAAATGTTTAAAAGAAGGTTTTAGGACAATATAATATTTTGAATGTTTATTTATGGTATATATGATATTTTAATTTTAGACAAAGTAAATATGGTATTTTGTTCTTTGTTTAGGGTTATATATAAAATTCTCCAAATAAAAAGAAAGAAAACTTTTTAATGATTCAAAGACAATTCCATTGTTATATTTATTTGATTATCATGTAAACATAATTAAGAAAAGAGGACTATATCTTAAACAAATATTCATAATGATTCATACATAACCTCTATGTCAAGTCATCACATTTAATGCAATCATGAACATTCATATGAAAAGATATGAACATGGTTAACACATGAACACAAAAGTAATCATATTTCGATACCACAAATTAATATAAACATCACAAATTAGATGAACAAAAACAGAAAATATACTCTAATATCATATATCGCCATATTGATGTAAATAAAGCGAAGTTGTAGATCCTCTGGGACCAATGGACCATATATTGATTTAAGCCCATTTTTAGATTTAGTTAGCTTGGTATATTTAATATAAAAAATAGTATATTTATAACTTGACATTATAAGATTGGTTAATAATAACCAAATTATTTATAGATACTTACATGGACCGAGATCGTCCATCAAGAGCTTACAATAATTAAGTCACAGTTTAAGTGATTATCAATACATTAAGTAATAATTCCTTTAGACCATTTTACCCCCATCGATCTAATTTCATCTAACGTATACATACACCATTATTGTTACTATATATATTTACCTTCTACATCAGCAGTTAGCAGTCTTTTGGTTTCGTAGGCTCAGCAAGAGACTCAGGGGATAGAATCGTCTTTTCATCAAACCCCCAGAATTGTGAAGCTTTCACATCATCCCTAGCCATTAATTTTGAAAACTCTTGGTGATCATACTTCATTGTCGCCTTTCCACCAAACTCAGTAGGAAGATTATCAACATCAAAATATGATTTCATGAGCTCCACACTCTCTTTATTTTTCGGGTACACAAATTTAACCTTTTGGAATGTTTTCGGATCCAAGAAATATTTAACAATCTGTATATTAATAATGTAAATGGTGTATAATTAATTCTCCAATTGGGAATTTGGAATTTATGTGAATGAATATTGGAAAATGAAACGAACCTTCCAAAATGCTTCGAATATTCGTGGTGGGCTGTATAAAATTGCGATAGCTAGCCTCTGTGGATAATGGTTTTGTAGTATACTGATTGTGTCTCGAGCGGTTTTAATTGGGACATTGATGCTAAAAAATAATCCGGTAAAGTCTATTAACCACACCATTTCTTCTTGCCCTTCTGGGAGATTTAGGATAGCGTTCTCCATCATGTATACTAGATGTCTAATTTGGCTGTCCAATGATGTTGTATTCTGCAATAAGTCTCATTATAAAGCTTATTACGTAAACCTTCAGCTGACAAGACATGACATGACAGAACAGGTTGTACTGTATTTCACATACATTGGACTGGACCGAGACTGATGTGAATGTGACAAACACTTTTTTGTCTCCCCGAAAAAGATGGAACAAGGTGGAACATGACTCGCTATCGATCTCTCGTCTGTGCGAAAGACGTAAATGCCCTTCTCATCTTCATCATCTAAAATAGTCATAGAAAGCTTGTTTGGTCCGATCCAGTCACGTTATGTCCCGTCCTGTGTAACAAGCGCAGCCGAAGAAGGCTGCGCTTGTTACACGGGACATGACTAGACAGGAAGAGGCTGGACAAGCTTTTATGACTATTTTTGATGATGAGGATGAGAAGGGCATTTACGTCTTTCACACACAGATGAGAGATCGATAGTGGGTCATGTCCCACCTTGTTCCACCTTTTTGGGCGGGACAAAAAAATGTAACTTTCGTCACATTCACATCAGTCTCAGTCCAGTCCAATGCACGTCAAACGCAGTACAATCTGTCATGTCATGTCCTGCATAACAAAATGGATATGAAAAAGAAATTTACGGAATTAAGGGTCATATAATCACCTGCAATCCAGGTTTCATTATGAGAATAGTCCTTCCAAACCGATCATGAAAATTTGCTCTAAACAGTTTCCCAGTTTCACTTTCAACTGCAATTTCTTCCTAACAAGTGAGACAAAAACAATACTGTCATAATGATGGTTAATATTTCATTTAAAGAAACATCAAGATGTATGTGACACTGTCACCTACCCAACGGATTTCTTCTGGTTTATAGGTAGATCGCCATGTAAGGGTCTCTTCCAACATTTTTTTTGCTTTCTCTACATTCCAATTACGAGCTTCCAGATATCTTTTCAAGCATGCATCAGTACAATATAATAAATTTCGCCCAGAAAGTGGACCAAGAACAGATTTCAGCTCGTTGACCTGCAACGATTGAAAAAAAAAATGTCCAATTTTCATAAAAATTAGAAATGCTGAAGCAAATTATTGATATTCCAATAAAGAGGTTATAAACGAGAGAAAAATGATAATTTTCGGCTTGTACTTACCTTAATTTCAGGTTGCTGTTCAAGATGTTCATGCTCTTGTTGTTTCTGAGAAGTCCCATGACGACGAAACATGGAAGCGATGATAAATTTGTGCTAACTACAGATGGAAAATTAAATCGATTTAGATAGTCGGATAATTTGTTGTAAAATTGCATACATGGATTCGAAGCAATTCCAAACCAATTGGAACTGATAACGTGAGGAGATGCATATTCGATTGAACAAACGATGATTCAATTTGAACGAAAAAGGGGTACGATGGTGAAATTGTATACAAATTGATTGAAATTAAACCTAATTTCATAAATTGGAAAGCAGGAACTACAGCAGGATGCTTCAATCAACTTCCAAAAAGTAAGCTTAAATTAATCGTACTGTAAGATTAAACAATTAAACAGTAATCTTGATCTCTTCTTTCATTTTTTTTCTTTAATCAAGCACTCAAAGATCAGTGAAGAACCTTATACTATACATAATTACATACATGGATCATGAGATCTATTATAACACGCACAGTATAGAATTCGAAATTAAATCAATTAATTACTAGCCTTTAGCGTAAACACAAGCTTATAAAATCATTACAGATACGATTTCGTTTGAAAAGTAGTTCCGATTCAGAGATCAAAAGAGAGAAAATACCGGTGTACGCAGGCTATAGAGAATTAGAGAAAGCAGATGAGTGTGTGTAATAACGTTCCACGAAATATCTGGGAAGCCACAAAAGAATGCATGTGCCTGAAGGGGTTATTTCAATATTTTGGATGAAACATTTTTTGATAAAAAACAGAAAAATATTTAATGATTATTCAACAAATAATAAAAAGGTTTTTTATTAACAACTAACTAATTCCATTCTAAAAAGCATGTCAAGGCGAAAATATAAATATGCCTTTTCGAAAAACCAAATGGTGATGCTGTTACGCGTGATGTGTCATGTGTGATAAGGTAGTTTTTTCTTTCCATATGCATTTTTTCGATATGCATTTTCTTACCGGTATGGGATTTTGTTAACTTTTTGCTAAAAGTTGATATAATATTTCTAAAAATTTGATATATTTATATAATAATATAATTATAAATTAAAACAAAATTACTGTCTTACATTACATTTTGAAAAATATTATGATCCGTAAAGACGTAAAGCTTGAGGCATGATCATGTTATGATGTCACGGCTCACGTCTTTTAAACTTTGTAATTGCCTTGAGTTGATCCGATGTCTAAAACAAATCTATATAAATTTATAATTTATAAATAGAAACAATTAATATCAAGAACAAAAAGACTATAATAAAGTAACGAAGTAAGATAGATATTTTTGAATTTTATAATAAAAGTATTTAATTGAAATAGACTTCTGTAAATTCAAATTGATTAATGTAAAATTTTCGATGTCCAAATCTAGTGGATGCATCGGAGATTATCAAAATTAATGTGAAACAAAGTTTTGATTTTGATATTACAATGAATTTACTTTATCTTTTTGAAAATGAAAGGGTAACGAAATTTTTGTCCGCTAATTATCATAAAAGCATCTCCAACCCACTATCATTTGTTATTTTTTCTTACTTTTTTTCCATCATATCTAGACTTGGCACAACATAACACGACACGAAAACCCGACACGAAATTAGCGGGTTAGGGAAAGATATTTTGACACGTTTATGTAAACGAGTTGACACGACACGATAATTAAACGGGTACGGTTAGGGTCAAGACTTTCAACTCGAAGATGACTCGAATATGACCCGTTTAATTATATATTATTTATTATAAATTTCATATTTTTATAAATATATTATATGTTATAAACTTGTAGTGGGTCAAACTAAAGGATTAGAAATAATATTCAAATTTCCAAAGTTACTTAATTTTACGCATCCTCACCACTTAACCTCTTTGCTCCCCAACTTCAATTCTTTTTATTTTGGCTTCCAAACTTACTAAAAATTTTGTGATTCCATCCCCTAACTCCAATGTTTCACTTTTTCATTTTTGCATTCATAACTCCTACTTTCCAACATTTAAAATGTTTCAACCAGACATGACACAACGTATTTACAAGTCTAGACCTTAACCCGAAACCCAACACGAAACCGACACAAAAATAAATGGGTTGACACGACACGACACGATAATTAAACAAGTCGGGTTAGGGTCAAACCCTTTCAACCCATTTAATGTCTTGACACGACACGACACGTTTGCGAGGTCTATTCATATCCCATTTATTCCCTTATTTTGGAAGATATGAATAGTATTATACCAAATATGGAGCAATACTATTTATTCCTCCCAAAATGATGATGAACTTTCAGTCGTATGTTTTAGTCTTTTTTTATATATATTTATACATTTTTAGTTTATTTTTATTTATTAGTTATAGTTTAAATATAATATTTAATATTTTTAAATTTTTGTTATATATTAAATTATATTAATTAATTATAAATATAAAATTTATTTTTTGTGTATCAAATTCATATACAAATTTAAATACATATTTATATTTTAAAACATGCTAATGTATTTTACAATTGTATTATAAATATAATCTTATATTATATTTTATATATATATATATATATATATATATATATATATATATATAACCAAAGGGCCTTTGACCTAGCGGTAAAGAGTGGCTCTCTCAAATGAGAGGTCATGAGTTCAAGTCTCATTAGGAGACATAGGTGGTGTTAGGATTAGATAGGAATATGATAGTTTGTCGTTTCTATATATATATATATATATATATATATATATATATATATATATATATGACATCCTCTAATTTTTAGAAACAAAAAGAACTTTTTTTACGCTTTAAAAAAATCATGATACTTTATTTGCGGAATATCCAAGTTTATAAAAATCTCTTTGAGAACAAAGATTGTCTCAAATAAAATCATAAGGATGTCATAATCAATACAGATACATAAGTTACAACGTAAAGACCTAATGATCCTAAACACTATTGCAGGTTGTCTCTTAATCACTCAACATCGTAATCAAGTTCAAGTAGCTCAAGTCTTAATACATGTGATGCATACAAACTGAGCGGGTCACTTCTGAGAATTGATTATATTAGATATGTGATATGTATGAGATATACATGATTTATGTGATCTAAGTGATTATGTTATAGTAGTTGTTATTCACTAAGCTGATAGGCTTACGTTTTTGTGATGATCTGTTTTGCAGGTAGATTATTATGATGTCCGACTTGATCCTATACTTGAGGTCAATCTTTGTGATAACTTCTTGTATGCCAAAATGCTAGTGTGTGACATCCCCATTTTCACGGCCAGAAAAGACCGATTTTTTTTGTTTATGCTTTATAAAAAATCAGAATACTTCTTTTAATAAAAATGTTGCGGAATTTGTTCCCAGAAAAAAACATGATAAATACGTTATCAAAACATTTCCGAAGAAATGTATTTTTATTCATTTAAAACATTTGGGATGTCATCGTCAATACAGAAACATAAGCATAAACAGAATTTACATTCATTTACACTAGTGATCTACATCTCTTTTAAATCTCTCAGTGCAAAGTAGCTTTGTATCGACACCTGTGATACAAATAAGCTGGAGTGGGTCAGGTTGGGAAACCTGGTGAGTACATAGGGTTTTCAACCCACAATAAGATAATTATTATATTTAAACATCAAACAATCAACTCGATTACCCATCCACGTTATCTTCTTTAATATTCCTTAAAGAATTATCTTAAGGGTCATCTCCTATATTATATTTACCTCTCATCTTTCTACCTCATATTTCCTTATATGCTCGTTCCTAAGGCATGAATACGTAGTTACAACGTCGCCTGAACTCGTAATTCATAGTAAGGGTTAGAGTATCATCGCATGAATATACAGTCACCACATCACCTGGACTCGTAATTCATCACCTACAGGTTATAAGTCTGCTGGTGTTTCCACTGGTTGTCTAGAATATTCTGTGGTCGTCATCTATACTCTAGTAGATGACTACATCTCCAAATTGTCGGACAAGGTTATAGTATCTTTCATCCTACATCACCGATTCATCATCACCTATCCATCACCTAATTATCATCACCTATCTCTCATCATTTTATTTCATCACACACCAACTATTTCATCTACCCATGTTTTATCCCAACGTATTTGTAGATATAAAATAAATATATATTTAAATCATTTAAAACATGTATAAAATCATTCATCCATCATAGACAGCAAGTATTCAGATAATATGCACACATAGCACGTAATTTATATAAAATACTTCCTATCTATGTGTAAGATGAAAGGGACCATGCACTCACCTGTTAAAGTGATGATTCCAAACTCAGACAGCGCTTCGTTACTCTTAAAACATTTCCTTCGACAAAACCTAGTATCAATACCACTAGGGTTTAGTCTAACGTTAACCGCGACTAATTAATAGTCTAGCTATTATTATTATTATTATTATTATTATTATTATTATTATTATTATTATTATATAAGCGTTAAACAACACTCTTATATAACTCATAATAATATCCCAAATAATTGTTTTAAGGTCCTAATAATGTTACTATAATTAATTAGAAGTTATATTAAAAATAGTGTAGGCGTAGCTCACTTACAGCGAGTTTTTATTAAAAACCGGGCTTCGCTGGAGCAGCGTTTCCGAGCCGAAAGCTTTTCTTCTCGGAGCCGTCGGGCGCTCCGGGGCTTTCTTCTCGTGCTAGGGAGGTTCCCTAGACTTGGGAGGGGTTTAGGGAGGTTAGAGAGAAGTTAGAGAGAGAAAGAAAGGTTTGAAGGTGTGAGGAAATTATGAAGAGTTCATCTCTTATTTATAGGAATTGTATAGTAAAGTAGTCTCCAAGCTTCGTCCGTAACTTTCGCATACGAGCTCCGTTTTTGTCTGTCTTTTTACCGTTGAGTTCCTATTAATGAGATCTTCAACTCTCATTTAGACCTCGTTAGCTAATTCTCATTCTATCTCGGATTTACAAAACTATATCGAATTCGTCGCGCTCGAAAAGTAGAGACTAAGCTTCGTCCATAACTTTCGCATACAAGCTCCGTTTTTGTCTGTCTTTTTACCGTTGAGTTCCTATTAATGAGATCTTCAACTCTCATTTAGACCTCGTTGGCTAATTCTCATTCTATCTCGGATTTATAAAACCTGTATCGAATTCGCCGCGCTCGAAAGTAGAGACTAAGCTTCGTCCATAACTTTCGCATACGAGCTCCGTTTTTGTCTGTCTTTTTACCGTTGAGTTCCTATTAATGAGATCTTCAACTCTCATTTAGGTCGCGTAAGCCAAAAACCGCTCGAACTAAAATTCGAGTTTCGGGCTGTACACTGCTAAGCCGAAATTTCAAAAAATCATAACTTCCTCATACAAAGTCAGATTTGGGCGTTCTTTTTATGGACGCTCTCGGTTTAACGTTTTCTACGACTTTTGTTTAGATCACTAAGGCTAAAAGTCGCTCCATCGTAAATTCACTATTTACGCTTCCCGGTGCCGTGCCGGTTTTGCCGTAAAACTTCGACGAGCCATAACTTCTTCGTTATAACTCGGATTTCGGAGTTCTTTATATGTACGGAAACCTTGAGAAATATTCTACAACTTGGTTAAGATTATTTATTATAAATAATCTTTTGCCGAAAATTCGTTTTCGACACTCATTGCCTCTAAATTGACTAGCCCGGATCTACGGGCGTTACATAGTGTACACCAAGATTATTTTTATAAACTTCAAATGAGAAAAGAGAAATTTTGGGGTGTA